ATAAACTCCACATAAACATCCGCTGCACGTTTCAAAGGCAAATTCCTGTGGGAGCAGCACACCTCTGTGCTGCAGGCCAAGGTGGGCAGAGCCCAAGACTGGCACGTGGCAGTGGGAGACAGACACCTCCCACCAAAGCCACCTGGCAAACAGGCATAGAGGGGACAGGTCTGCCTTCAAAAGAGGAACATCCTGGGAAATGCTGCAGCTTTGAAATAACACCCACAGACAGCAATGCCCCAAAGCATGGCCTTTACCCCAATGCATGGCCAGCAAATAAAAAACTTCATGCAAAAGTACCCTGGGGCACAGCCTTTACTCGGAGGAAAGCAGCTGCCATACCAGGCTGGACTTAGCACCCACTGCTATTTCAGTGCAGAAACTGCTTGGACACAATGGTAGCAAAGGGAGAAGGCTTAGAATCAGCAGGTAAATCAATGACAGAATCTGAGCAGCAGTGATAAGATAGCTGCTGCAGGAACTACAGCTCTTGAACCCCTGACTTTAGAAAATATGCATCTCAGTCAGAAATATACATGCAGTGATTTTCTTTTTTTAAAAAACACACACCAAAAAATAAAAAGGACAAAGGCTTCTCCTTCAGAGGAGCCAGACAGCATGCTTTGCATTACACTTATGTACAGGGTTACCCCTAGGGAAACTGCAGGAGGTTTTCATTAATTTCTAAGTGCAGGTTTCCACCAAGGCAGTGTTCCTGGATCCAGCTAGAGAGCTGCAATATCATAGGAACAATAAATAAACTGTGGAATCACATCAGCTTGAACTATTTTTATGGCATGTATTACAAACACATCCAAACATCCCATTTCTTGAGCACGAGCTTTTACCACCACAGCATCTCTGTGAGGTACAAAGTGGTAACATTTTATGTCTAAGACAGTTGAAGATTTATTGCCCTTGTGTGGAAGGAGGAGATCCATGGGATTTTTTGAAAACAGCTGTGTACTCATTCGTAGGCACCAGCTGTCACATAGACAGGCTCTGCCTCTCCTGGGGCCACCAAGCTCATGCAGGGAGCCTGGGGAAAAGCAAAGACCCAGACTGGGGAGCTGCTTCCACCACTTGACCACTTACCCTATGGTTGTGCCTTTGACTTCCAAGCAGTCTCTGAGCTTTTCACAGGTCAGTTAAAATGCATCTTCTGCTGCTGTTTCCATGTGCTTGTCTCTCCTCAGTCAGCTGCAGGTGAAGCTGCTTTGGAAACAATGCAGATTAAAAACTTGGCTGAACACCCTTTGGCAGCACTCACCCCATTATCTTGCTTCTTAGCATAAAAAGTGCTCTGGCTTTCTCAACCCAACCACCACAAGACTTCTTCTTTGGTCCCAGATGTTTCTGGCAGAAAGATCCTATCCTAGCAGGAGGATGGAAACCAACCCTGCAGCGCACACCAAAACCCTGCCTTACCTGTGGTATGGATCTGAAAAGTTCCCCTCACTCCTCTGTCCCCCTATCTTTTCAGTTGCTTCTTCCCTCACACCTCACACACTTCACTTCCACTATAAAGGCTTAATGACATCCACTTAAAAGATCTGTAAGTTAAAAAAACAAACAAAATGTTATGTTTTGCTTGTTTAAACAGAAAACATCTGTGTGAACATTGCTGCTTGGGGACGGGACAAGAGAACAAACAAGCAGCAGGTGTTTGTCGTGCTGATCACTGGATGCAGAGAGGTGCAGGGAAGTGGTGGCACCACTCTGAGCTTCATGTCTCCCAGGGATGATGCAGCCCAGGGCAGCAGCAGGACAGGCTGTGGGCACGACCCAGCATGGCTGCATGTGTGATACAGACTGGGAACAGTGGGCCTGTGGGTAGCTGGGCAGGAAGGAAAGGCAATAAATATCTCTCTCCTGCATTTGGGAGAAGGCTCGATGAAGCATTCCTGTCAGGAGGGTGAAACACTTTCCACTCTAACAGTAACTCAGGAGGATGTTAAAAAACAGTTGCATAAGGCAAATGTTGAAAACTCTTCAGTCTGGGTATCCTGCATCTAAAAAAATAACATCCATTTTTAAACATCCAAACTATTAATGCTGAGATCCAGTAACACAAGGAAACCTGGAGAAGCTCCAGAGAACAAGCAAGTTGATGTTATGCCAGCATATTAAAAAAGTAAACAGGATGGCCTAGTAAACAGGTGTGTCTATTCAACAGACATCCTATGGAAAATAATGACCAAAAAATATGTGATCATATTGATAAAGACTTAAAGCAGAGAAATGTAAATACCAATCAACAAGGATTACAGACAATAAGTCTGTCAGACTAACATGATAAATTTTTTGGCACTGTACATCTTCAGTATCAGAGAGCTGGTACAGCAGTGTGTGCAGTCAAGGAACCAGCTCATGGGTGGCCTGGCCAAGGTGAGGCAGAAGAGGAGCTGCTCCTCTCTGGGAGCAGGTACTGAGCACGTGTTTGCAGCAGGGTAAAGCTGGTTACGGGTACTGACGGGAGGTTTGGGGGGCCAGAACAAACCTGTGCCCATCTTCCATCACTCTCCTGCACCTGAACTGGAGCCCAGACAGCCCAGCAGCACCTGCCATGCCAGGGCTGAGCTTCCTCCCTGCCAAAATTATCCTGCTTGGAAGAGATGAGTTCAAAAGGGATTGGATAAGGCAGGGGAAAAAACCACAAGAGTTCAGAATGGCAGCACATCCCATGCTCACAGGAAGTGTGCTTCCCAATCACCCACTTGGCTGCTACAACAGTAGGACACAGCCTGAGCCTTTGCCCTGACCCAGAAGGTCACACTTTTATTCTGACACAGTGCACTGGGAACAGTGAATCCCTGTTGGACATGCAGACCACAGTGACAAGCAGTGGACCATGAATTCCACAGTGACTTTATGGGTAAAAGGCTTGTTCCTGTTCCCTGTTTAAACATTCAAACACTAGCAGCGACTGGATAAAAGGTTAAAGTTGCTCTACATCTGAAATTCCCATTCCCACAATTAGAATAGCATGTCCTGGTCCAGCGTCCCAAGGGATACAGATGCATAAGATTTGGATGTGAGTCAAGAAATGGAAAATATGCCTTAAAGCAAAAGGGACTTTCATCAGTTCAGTCTGTCTTAAAAAAGGATCAGGAAAGCTCGATCATAATATCTGACTCCTCTGGTACTAACAACTCAGAGGCTCAGTTCCTTCCTGAGAAGATCCACTGACTTGAAGGGAATTAAAGAAATACAGCTTCAGTCTAAGGTGAAACAAGAAAAATAGTTTCTAGAACAACCTACCAGCCACTGTAGCAGGGACACACCAGTTTAAAATCAACTGTTTTCCTAACAACAGTGCTCTAATTTACACAAGAACTAATTTGAGGCAGCCTGTGTCATGCAGGAAGTTACGCTGGGAGCCTGGGAGCCTGGCCAGCCTCCCTGCTTTATAATCTACGGAAAAAAACCTGCCTGTGTTTCCCTTCCTGCGGTCCAATTGTGTGAAAGGTCTGGCCTGCCCCACTGGAGGCGGTTTTGGGAGGCGTGTTACTCGGGCTAGCGTGGGCAGCAGGCAGCCATGCCCAGCCTGTGTCCCGGGCTGCCCGAATCGCTCCAGGCAGCTGCTGGCCCTGAGCTCTGGCACTGAGGCATTTTAGCTTTATAAGGAAGCCAGTCTGAGGGGACAAAGCAAAGCAGAATCCTAGAGCTGAGGCTTCAAGAATGATGAGTGCCAAGGTTCTGATACATACAGTATTCTGCCTTCCTTTCCAACCGAAGCAAGGACATGAGACAGAGCAGGGAACAGCCATCCCCACGGTTCTCATTACGCCACAGGAATAGCCCTGCAGGCTCCAATTCCCCGGCTGCCAGGCTTGGTTTTGCACAAACCACTCACACTGGAACCAGTAACCTGCCTCCACACCAGTTCCCTGCAGCAGTCAGTGGCATCCCAGAGAGCCAGGACCTCCACATTCATTAGGAGCAAAAAGCAATTCCAGCAGTCTGGCTGGGATGCTGCCACTGCAGACGGACTCATTTGTAGTGGAGCAGCTTTGCTATTGTATAAGCTGTTTATGCTTCCAGCTCAACTTTCTACTTCCCAGCTCAGTGCTTTTCAAGGGCCAGCATGTCAAAATGGGTCAATAACTGCCCTAGTCACAGCTTTGTGGACGGTTTTGTTTTGGGAGAACAGCTCACAGCCTCCACAAATAAACTGGATCTGATTAGCTCAGAGGCAAGCAGTGCAGGAGCAGCTGCAGGCTGTATCTGCTGAGTGGAGATTTCCTCACCCAAAGATTGCTGACAGATGCTATTGAGTAAAACACACTGCTGGCTTTCAACACAAGTCAGAAGGAAGTCCATGCAAGAGCAACCATAGGCAGGACATTGGTCCTTTAGGATAGTGCTATATGTACTGACAGGCTCCACGGGCATGTGCCCCACCCTTTTGTCTCACGGGAATCTCTCATTAGGGAGATTATATGTTACAGCTCAAGGGCATAGAGTAGAACAGGGATGGCTTCACAGTGCCCAGTTCCAAAGAGAAATGGGCCAGACTTCACAACCAGGCCCATCCTGGCCTGTCACAGTCCTGCTCACGTTGGAATACCTTTCTGAAGTGAAATACCTTTCTGAAGAGATAGATGAATCCTGAAGCAGCTAATAAACTTTATAGAAAACAGAAGCTGAGAAGCACGGGAGTGAAATCAGATCCAGCTGGGATTTGCTGCAGCATCAGAATACAAAAGCTCTGTGCTTCTGTTCCTCAAGTGCTGTCTCTTCTTACTGTGGGCCTTGAAATAGTCCTTCCCAGTATTTTGCTTCCTGGGGTAGAGCCATAATTGGTTTTTGATGCACAAGATGCTTGCTGCTTATGTTTGTACCCTGCTGACTTACTCTGCTACACCTCTTTACACACAGACCTGCAGCTCTAGCACTTGGCCTCCAACATTTTCAGTGTGGTTTAGACTGGAGCTGCTCTGTAGCCTCACCCAAAGGGAAATAAGAGTCCTTATGAGCCAAGAGATGGACACAGTGTCTCACAGTGAGTATAACAAGGTCTTTATTAAACAAGACCAAGTAAAGAAAGCACATACCAAGTGAACAAGCAGAAACAATGAGCTCTGTGCAGCTCTTCAGGGTCTCTGTCAGGAAAGGGTAGTGATCCTCCAGAACAGACCTGGAGAAGATGGCATCCATACCAGAAGCAAAGTCCTCTGCTCTGGCTGAACAGAGAAGTACTTGTGTCCAGGAGACACGGCCAGCAGCAGCTCCACACAAGCCACCCAGCACTAAATAAAATCCAGGGAAGGGCCTTATAAACCCTGTCTTCCCAAATATGGTGTGTGGATATGTGAAGGGACTGGGAAGTCCTAGAAGGAATCCAGGTGGGGTGCCTGCAGCAGTAACAAATGTGTCTGTTCCCTGGGTCTGGTTCATCTCAGCTCATCTCTGATACGGATGCATTGAGGCAGATTTTATATTTGTTTTTATGCCACTCGGCATTTTTCCTGCAGAGAGAAAAAGGAAAAAGCAGTACAAAATCAGTAATATGACAGGACATTTGCTCAGGAGCACACAAGACTCACAACAACTCTGTCAAGGCTTTTTCAGTTCCACTCCAGGCTCATTTGCTACAGAACCTTCCAGCTTCTGACCTACCCAATCAATCTCTTGCACAAATTGGCATCTTTCTCTACTGACAAATCTCCTTGACAATTCCTGTGTCCCCCTGCTATCCCATTCAATTCTATTCTTTTTTCATCCTCAGTAATCTTTCTCTTTGTCAGGAGGCTCCTGCCAGATGTGTTAGACTTAGTCTCATAGAAGTTGCTGGCAGCAGCACACACAGAAGAACCCAGACTGTGTCCAGTTCCGTTTCAGAGGGTCTCAGTAGCCCTTTCCCTGTAGCATTATTTATAGTCAGGATGTATATATAAATTACTAAGCCTCTCTCAGATTTCGTAATTTCTTGTAGCCACATCCACCTCTTGGGCATTATTACTCTCTGCTGATACCAATCTCACATGGGAGTGTGTTCAAAGACATCTTACTAGCAGCTCACAGTAAGTGAAGAGTGTTAGACAAAACTGAGATGATCTGAAAAATAAACAATGATTAAAGAGCAGCACAGAGGGATATTCAAAAAACACTCCTTCAGTGTCTTCAAACTGAACCAGAAAAAAAATAATAACTTCTGAAAGTTAAAATTATAGTGCATCAGGATGAGAAAAGATTTGATAAGCAAAAGCCTAAACCAATAAAGATTATTAAACTTTCTCAAACATATCCATAGTGGGTCACTGCCAGCAATGAATGGACTGATAGATATCTAACAGTAACTGATAGATACTAACAATCAGGAGACAAATACTGTTAGATATCACCCTAAAAGCAACAGTGAACCAAACTGTATGGTTAACCCACATCTGAGACACTGTGAGTGGTTGTGGTGTTCCCAGTCTTGAGAGCAACCAGAAAAAGTGCATGTAAGAGTGAAAAGGATGATCCAAGTTATAATTTTCACATAAAGTCATATTAAGGAGAACAGGACTTAGCTAAGGGAAAAACACCTAAAAATAGGTAAAGGAAGGAGACATGACAGATTTCCAAAACATGAAAACTAGTATGCAGGAGGTAACTGAGGAATGATTATTCACCATTTCTCACAACATGGGTAAAAAAAGAAAAATGCAATAAAATTATCAAGGAAAATATTCAAACATCAAAAAGATTTTAAGCAAAATGTGATAAAGCTGTGGGACATACTGCCATAGGTGTTGTAGAAATCAAAACTGTAATTCAATCAGGAGCTGCAAAAATTAATGACTCCTGGACCAAATGGTATCAAACCAAACTCTGGCTTAAAATCCCTAAAAAGCAACTGTGGTAAAGATAAATTTTTTCAGCCTCAGCTATGGACACTATCAAAAGCAGAATAGTGAGACTGACTTTGCCCAAGCCCACTGTAGCTGCCCTCATCAAGAGGTACTGTCCCCATCACACAGGCTGGCCAAGTGCTCTCCTTACCAGCGCACTCTGCTAGGCCTGCAGAAGTGACTGTCTGCCCAGCCTGGATACAGTATCTCTGGGTATTCAGCCAGGAATCACAGGAGGTCTTCCTTGTTACCAAATTACAGTGGAAATTACTTTCTAACTCTTACATAAATACATATTTAACTTAGGATCAATACTGTTGCTCAAGTACCCATCTGAACAACAATCATTATATACAGGCAAGAAAACATCAATTAGGATATAGGATATCCTAAACTGCAATTAACATAAACATTCTGACAATACAGGGTTAGCCTGCAGGTCCCCCAGGCCAACCCCATTCCTGACAGCAGAGGATTTTTAAGTAGGAATACCAGAATAGGGCAAGCCTGCAGTGATATCCCTGCAGAATACCTATTCTGCTTCTAACATATTGTGCCTCAGGGCCAAGGAATCAGAGCTGGTATCCTCAGGATTAGATGTTGACTGATTTTGCATCCAGAAGTCTATTTATTTACTTCTTTTTCCATCTCATATAAACATTATCTGCCTATCACACACTAGGCAATGCGCTCTACAGTGTAATTATTTAGTATTCAGAAAAGTATCTCCCTTTCATTCTAAATCTACAAGCCCACATTTTGATTGGTGCATTTTCAGCAATCCTCCTGTATCATGGGAGGCAAATGAGGCCTCCTGCAAATGAGGCAAATCATTCCTCATTTGCCTGCTGTATATAATTTGGGATTTTATAGGCTTCCAGTTTCTTCTCCCTAGCCCAAAGCTATGCCCACTAGCACAGGAGATATCAGAACTGCCCATAATATTGCAGATGTGGGTACCCAATGGATTTACAGAATAGCCTAAAGATATCCTGTTTCTCTGTTCCTTTTCTAGAAATTCCTAGCATTTGGCTTGCATTTCTGCCCCATCTGAATACCCAATTATTGTCTTTACAGAACTCTTCTATCATGGATGTATTTCACAAATACAAGCAACTAGGTTAGAGTCCAGGTGCTGGATGTGTAGTCAAATTTCTATGCCTATGTATTTCACTTTATATCCAATGCAAATGTCATCTACTGCTGTTAAGCAAAGTCACTTTGTACAGGAAATCCTTCTACGTTTTTACAGAAAACTTTCTTTTCTTACCTTAAATAACTCATTATCATCAAACTTTTCCACTTTATTACCTACCCACAACTTAAATTTCACAGGAAAACCCCCAGTATCCCTGAAAACTACACTGTGATCTCTCTCCATATTGATTCCTATGTTCATTCACTAAGTCTATTATTAAAACAGTATTGCAGTGGGAGTTAAGAAGTTAAGAAGTTGAAGCTGGTTGGCTGGGATCCACCTCACCCTCTGAGCCAATTCTAAACAGGTATTACTCCTCTATTATAACCTGACTCATATCATTAAGGCCCAAAAGGAACCTCATACTTAGTCACATCTAAAAGGTGACTGGGGAAGAATCTCTACATCTGCATTTGTCTTTCCTGGTCCCTGGGTTTCAACTGATCTCAGATATGGAACTTTACCTGGCTGCCCTGCTGGTGCCATCTGCACTCCTGCCAGCATTGGCTGCTGCTGAGCTGGTGCACCTGTCATTGGGACCTGCTGCATGCCTGAAGCACCTGCAATGATGGCACCAGCTCCTGGCTGGCCTGACTGGACAGATGCCCCAGAGCCTGGGGGTCTCCGGTTTGACAGCCCTTTCCCAAAGGCCACAGCTGCTACCAGGGCATTGGTATCTGCAGGGTTGAAGGTCTGCTTGTTCTGTCGTAAACCTGTAAAAAAATGAAGTTAGTTTGGAAGTTATTTTTAGACTCGGCAATCAGGTCTAAAAAGTAGCATAGCTGGTCCTGAATTTACTTTTCTGCTACTTTAGTGCATGCAATAGAGATGAGTTTCTTACAGGCTGTCCTACAAGAGCCTCAGCAAGGTCAAAGAAGCTGCAAAATCAATGGACACTGGTGATCCAAGAGCTTTTTCACTGAGAGCAGGGCATAATCTGCTCGTGGAGGGAGGACAGAGTGACCTAACCCCTCCATGCCCTTAAGAAGCTGCCACTAAAGGCTATTGCATGCTGAATCCTATGGCAGGTAACACTGTGAATCAGACAAACAATAGCAACATCTCCTTTTGGAAGCTCATAAGCAAGGGGTGTCTGCAAGTTTTTTTGCCACACATGTGCTCAGTTATACTGTTATTCCCAGATAGTAGACAGAACCTGTGCTCAGGTCCTGGGTCAAACATGAGAGTAAAAACAATGCCACTGCCTTTATGACAAGTGTGTGGCACTCCCAGGAATAGTGAACACCACAACCAGAAAAGGTTGGCCATGAGCCTGAAGCACCCATTATCTAGACAGGATCACACAAGAGCCTGCCAACATGGGGACTCCTTCAGAACATAGCTAAAGGGTTTCTCATTCACTGCTGCTGCATTTTCACAGCTATTTTTATTAATTAAAGTTGATTGGGAAATCTTCTTGGTAGATACTTATCACCTCCTCAAAGGTGGATGTGTCAAAGGGCTGGGGTGACCTTCACATTGCACCCCACAGGCTCCCTTCTCAAATTAGGGGGCTCCAGGACAGCCAATCTTGCATCTTCTGGAGTGTTTTCATTTGTGCTGCTCAACTGTGTTTCCCATACTTCAGATTCTCCAATATACCTATTTTGCCTCTACTCTCTCAAATCTGCTGCTTAAACCCCACACCCCACTTCCACCTCAGTGACATACCTCCACTTTCAGATTCACGCTCCTCCTTATTGATTTTCTCCAGCAAATTTGAGCACATTTTGTTCAGACTTTGGATCTGTTTCTGCAAAATAAAAACTGTCAGAAACTGCCAGGATACCTCCAACTCAGTACAAATCAGCAAGATAAATGAACAAGCTTTCCTTTCCCCAGATCCATGTAACCAAATATAAGTGTTTTGGTAGCTGAGCTTAGAGTGCCCAGTGCTAATGCAGGAGGGCACTGTGGAGATGGGACAGCCTTTGCCTCTGACTGGCTGGAGGGCACCTCCTGTGAACAACCAGAGAGCTGGATACCCTTGTGAAACTGTGGAGGAAACCAAACCTCAGCTACGGTCAGCTGGAGAAACCTCAGACAGGAAAGGACACAGAAGAAAAAGAAAACTGTCAAATGGAAGGGTGGAAGAAGCAGTTAAAAGGCATCTCGTGCCCTAGGGGTAAGAGGCAGAAGTATCAAACCCTTCTTTACCTACCTGTGCTGCATCAGGGCTGATTCGAGCTGCATCTGTGATCAGCTGCTTCTCCTGCTCCTCCACCTCAGGGTCGGGCTTAGTTCGAAGGTGGTCGGGCACCACTTCATGGCTGAACACCGGCACACGCCCCTCTGTCTGCCTCTGCAACGGGCCACAAACCTCACTCAGAGCCTCTCCCTCCAGCCCAGCACCAGGCAGCTCCAGACCAGGGCACAGGCCATGGTGCTGAACAAGGCTACAGGGAAAGCCTTGATCTGGGGAGCCTTAGGAAGTTTCAACAACTTGTCTAGGAATTTGCACTGTGCCTGTTTAGTAACAGCAACATATTTATTAACAGCAACACCTCCTGTAAAGTGTATCCAGTGCAAGTGTTTGTAGGTGAAAACCCCACAGCAAAGCAGCTCTCAGCCAGAAGTACTTCTTGCCCTTTCTGATACTCAAGGGACGTGTCTTACCATGATCTCCTCATCGCGGTCTGGAGACAGCACTAGCGGGATGATCACCTGGTTCCGCAGCAGCGGCGTCTTCTCGTGCTTTAGCACTTTATTCAAGGTGTTCAGCTGTCCTGAGAGCAATGCAAAGCTGTCCAGAACTGAAGGCCTGGAAAAGCAAATAAAGAAGACAGAACATGGAAAGGGCATGTCACATAGAGCTTTTCTCTCTTCTTCACTCAAATGGCTGAGGAGCGAGGAAACAACACTGTCAGTCCTCAAATCATCTGCTCCGGACAGTAAGCAGTAAAACCTAGGCTGAATATGGAGTTGTGGACAAACCCCAGTCCTAACTGGAAAAGGCTCAAATGCAGCAAATACCTCAGGGACATTACAAGCAGTACCACTGAAAGTGGCAGTTGTGTGGGATTTCAGTAATACACACAGAAGCACTTTCCTTTCACCACCTCTCCCAGTGAAACTCTGGAGCAAGGTCTAAGAAACAATTTCATTCCAAAGCACTACAGTCAGGACAGACAACATTTATAGCTTGGCTATCCAGACTAAGAAACAATGAAGCTAAACAACTGATAATCTTTTCAAGGAGTTTCTCTCCAGCTTAGTCTGTGCTGGATTCATCAACTCTCCTGCCTTCTGCAACATTAACTATAAATGTTAACTTGTCTGTGAAACTTTGCTGCAGTGGCAGACACTAAGATTACCATATAGCTTATTAAGCTATGCTCCATATTCTCCAGGAAGAGAATGCCATCTTGCAAGGCTCTCAAACTGCAGTAAAGCAGAATCAGCAAAACACAAAAGCTCAGTTTATATCAGAGCCACAAAAAGCCAGAAGAGGTCAAGAAATGCAGAAAGAACCATTCCTCATTTTATAATGTATGTGGGTCTCTAAGGTCTTTCATCTGAGAACTTCTACTCACTGCAGATGCAAGTCTAGTTCCCATAAAATGTCTGGATTAAAAGGTGTTAGTGTGACTCTAATTACTCTACAGCATGAAGCCAATGGTTTTCAACTGGTTTTCTTGCAGAAGACGTGTAATGGTTCCTCCAGCACAAAGGTGAAAAGAAAATTGAAACCTATGGACAAGAAGCTAATGTTTTTTAATTAATCCTTTGAGCCAAGTCTGAAGAGCTCTGGCAGTGATCAACAGTGAGACACTTTACCATGTGAGTCGATCATACTCGTTCTCCAGCTTGTAGATAAAACTGACCAAGGAGTTCTTCAGGTCGGCCACCTGACTGATGAGTGCCTCCAGGGTCAGCTCCAGCTGCTTCTCCTCTCTCTAAAAAAAGGCAAGACAGACAAGGGAAGAGAACAGACATTGTGAATCCACACCCATGCATCCATGATCCAATCTATCCTACAGGCAGTCTCCTTTTCAGAGAAAGCAGAGGCATTGGAGATAAAAATCCCATTATTTCACACTGATCCCTTTCCCTTGGGTCAGACTACTTAGGCAAGAGACTTGTGCGAGACAAATGCTTGGCCAGCTGTCCTGTTAAAGATCTGGATGAGTGTCTGAAGACATCACTTGCACCTACTTTTCACCAGATCAGGCAAAGTCATCAAAACTAGCTCACCTTTGTAAGTCACTTAAGCTAATCCAGATCAAAGTAAGCATTCCCTTAGCCTTTTCTGAAGCAGTTGTGGGTGCTGTGATGCCTTCATCCAAAACAGTCTTTGCAAAATGAGTATTGGGACCGTGGACTACTGAAGACTCCAGTTTGTGTCATTCTTTACTTTCTGCCCATGTGACACTTTCAGCTGCCAAGGAAACTGGCAGCTCCTCCTGGCACTGCCCTCCCGTGACAGACTGGCACTGTACCCACACACACCCCTCACCTCCTGCCTTTTGCTGGGATTATATCGTTTAAGAAATCTTCCCCACTGACATCCCCTTCCGGGTGAGGGAGGATGGTGACAGACAATGTGTCAAGACTGGGGATGTGTTGCTGAAGACATCAAGGCATGTCCTTGACTCTTGCAAAATCCCTCTAAACTCTTATCTACTCTAACTTACTCATGCTACAGTGTTGTGCAAAATATAATTAAAGTCCCAGCCCTAAGGAACTGCTCGTGTAAATTGAGAACAGTACAATAATCCATGAGGAGGGTGGGACACAGCAATCAAATAATAGAAAGGGAATACCGATTGGAGAAGCAGATAGAGTGACTCACACCGTTGGCATGCTTGCTATTGGGTTTGTTGTTGCTCCGTTTAAATACACTGGCCCAGTGTAAGCTTCATGGAGAGATTATCAGGCACCTTCCATGTTCATGAGAACACAACATTATTCTATGTTGTTTGTACTCTGACAAGTCGGTAATCACTGATGGGACTTCATTTCACTTTAACAACCTTAAAACAAACAGCTGAATCAACCTTATTAAAATTTGATCCCCAGTCCATGGAGTGGACTCATGAACAGATTGCTGCTGGCTGTTCCACCTAGAGATAAAAGCACTCTCCTTCATCTTGCGATGGGACTAGTCAGTTCCTGTCCAATGAAGAAATGTGCCTGCAACAGTTTGTGTGCCCTGTGTTTGTGCAAGGAGGTTAACTACTGCCTGTGTTACAGGCTGGGCTGGCAGCCAGTGTTTTACTGCAGAGGTGCCGGGCTGTGCACCCACGGCCATTCCCCTGGCCCCCTGCCTGTGCTGATCCAAGAAGCCCTCAGGAGGATGAATGAATCCCCATTGCACAAGGAGCACTCTCACGGCAGCAGGGCACTCCAAGCCTCCTTCCCCAGGCTCTTCCCAAAGCCATCAGGAGCTGGAAGCAGATGCAAACTGTGCAATAAGCACACAGTAAGACTGGCCAGCGATTCCAAGGAATGCTGTGCCTCTCCAAGAGGACACTTTGAGGAGTTTGTTAGCAATGTTACATTGGCCCGAGGTAGTAAAGGTAGGGCTTATGGTTTTTTTTGATCTCCATATCAGAAGTACCTACTGATATGGAGGCAAAAAAAACCCAAATCCAAAACCTGAGAGGTAAAGGTGAAATTTAGAGTAGGTAAAAGTAAAACAATGCAGGCGGCAAAACAAAGTAGAAAAAAAAATCCTGACTGGCAAAATAAAAGGGGAAAAAACCCCATGACTTTCTGTATACAACGACGTTATCTGAGCTGATAACGTTGTAACTCTACAAGATCTCAGGATTATCTGAGGGTAACCCATGAAAACATCCGTCCAATCCTGGAAAGGCAGTCAAAGAAGTAAAAGCGACCACAGGAGTTATTAGGAAAGCAACAGAAACCGAGCATCATTACGTCACCACATAAATACATCCCTCCTTTACATCTCGAATACTACATGTCACTCTTGTACTCCCAACTGCAAAGGAATAGAGTAGGAATATGTACTGATAAAGGCAACGAGGATGATGAATATTCATAGTTCAAAAAAAAAAAAAAACAAACCCAAAACAAAACAAAACTTGAAAAAAAAAACAAACTGTGAAAAAGCAGTAAAAGACTAGTATGACTAAGTGGCTGAAACAAGGAGAGACAATGTAACAAGCTCTATAAACGAAGAATAGCGGGACAAGCTGTTTTCACTTTCTTTTCCAGCGGGACAGCCAGAACATCTGTATGAGGCCAGGCAGCTGCGCTTTCAAACAAACCAAAGGAGGTGGATCTTTACAGCCTGTCAACCTGCCCTTAATGCTCTTTTCTTTGGACAGTGCGGATGCCACAAATTCACGGCATTTCATAATTAGGTTCTTTTCCCATTAACAACGTTTCATTCAAGCGGGTCGGGGGCACTCAGCCGCACACACGCTCGCCCCACAGCCGTGCAGCAGCAAGGGGCTGTGCACAGCAGAGCACCGCACCGGCTGCTCGGGGACGCGCTCACCACCCGCCCAGGCAGCCGCAGCCGCAGCCCCGGCCCGGCCCGGCCCGGCCCGGTCCGGTCCCGCTCCCCCGGCCCTCACCTGCATGGCGGCGATAGCGGCGGCGATGGCGGCGGCGGCCCCGCCCCGTGGTCCCGGGAGAGCCGCACTTCCGGGGCGGGGCCGCGCGGACATGGCGGCGGCCGAGCGGCCCGATGGGGAGGTGGGTGCGGGCCGGGAGGGGGCTGGGGGAGCCGCGCCGAGCCGCGCCGAGCCGAGCCGAGCCGAGCCGAGCCGAGCCGAGCCGAGCCGAGCCGCGGGCGCAGGGGACACGGCCGCCATGGGGAATAGTGGGGCCGGCGGCGCGGGGCCGGAGCAGCCCGGGGTGAGTGGAGGCGCGGGCGCTGTCCGGGGCTGCTCCGGGGGTGACCTGGGCCGCTGTGCTCCCGCCGCAGGTGGAGGAGGCAGGGCACGTGTTCCTCCTGATGAAGAAGGACTATCGCATCTCCCGCAACGTGCGGCTCGCCTGGGTGCTCAGCCGCCTGCACCAGGTCATCCGGGCCGTGCCCGAGCCCGAGCTGGTGAGTTGGTGCTCAGGGCTGCACGGTGTCGCCGCCGCTGGTGCTGCACCACCCAGCAGCACCTGCACCCTGCAGGGCATTTGAGCCCCTTTGCTTTCTCTGAGCCTTCCTTTGGTGTGGCTTGATGTTCTCTCATGTTCCGTTTGCTTGTTCTGGCAGGTAAATTCAGAAAATGAGCTTGATGTTCTCAGCATCCTGCCTAACGGGTGGCAGCCAGACGAGCCGGTCCAGCCCAGGCCCTACCTCCTCGTGCCCTCTACACGGGTCACCTTCCTGGCCCGCCAGTACCGATTTGTGATTGAGCTTGATCTGAGCCCTTCCACGGGGATTGTGGTAAGAGCAGAAACTGCCTCTCTCGGGGGTGTTCTGCATTAAAACAGAACCCCATTTCTATTTGCTGAGAAAAGGTTTATTGCTCTCAGTGTCAGTCTGAACTTTTGCAGAAGTCTTGCTTTTCCTGGGAGGGAGCCATGCTTTGCCCCTGGCTGGGAGCTTAATGTCAAGTCCTGTTTCTCCATTGGATGCTTAACGTGTGACTTCTGTTTACAGGAGTTGTCACTTTAATCCAGCTGCCATTGCAGAAGGATGTTTCCTGTTGGCTCTGCGCAGTGGGACAACCACCAGTGAGACTAAAGGTCCTAGGAGATGAAAAAGCTGTTCCCTTTCTCTGTTTCTGTAGGATGACTCAACGGGGGAGATAATTTTTGATGAAGTGTTTCATGCCCTTTCCCGATGCTTGGTGGGATTGTTGAGACCCTTTCGTATCCCCGGTTCAGACATTATCTACCAGCCAGAAATCTTTGTCACCATCCAGGTGTATTCCTCCATCATTGGCCTGCAGTCCCACCAGGTAAAGTTCAGGCTCTGCCTTGGCACGGCGTGAACAGCTCGCTGTGCTGTGCAGGTGTTCTGTGAGCACAAGGGAAATGGGGCAGGTGGCAGCTGGGCTCTGCTGTCTGTTATACTGCAGGGTTGTCTCACTAAAACATGTGGCCTGGCATGATGCAGAAGTGTGTGTGAGCAACTTCTCCTTCTTGGGAAAGAAGCAGAGGTTTCTCTGGAGAATGCTGCCCTTAGGCAGGATCTTAGAATTGGGCCACAGGGAATATTTGCTTCATGTTGAATCAGTGCTTATTGTTGTTGTTCTTGTTTTGTTGTTTGGGGGTTGTTTTTGTTTTTCATTTCTGTTGATTAATTATTTTTGCCTGTTTTAATTAGCTTGAAGCATTCAAGAAGGGCTTGTATGACCAAAAGCTTGTCTCCCTATTCCAGCTCTGTAGCAGAGATAATTGCCTCTTCCTAAAACCTTGGTTTTTTTTGCACTGGTCTGAATATGCTTCTTCTTGCTGAAGGGAGCAGCCAACCCAATATTGAGATTTATCAGTGAGATTTTACTTGTGTTGTGGCAGGTCTGTTTAATAAATTTGAGTCTGGTTTATGAGGCCAGTGTTGTTTTTGAAGTTCATCCTTGATCTCTTCCACCTTACAGTATTTTCACATAACTTATGTGTTTATGGTGGTGTATTTCATCCCTTTGCTAATACCAGGGGAAGTGTGTGGTAACAGGAGGAGCCTGTTAGTCTGTGCTTGTTCCCTCCCTCCCCTTCCCCAGCCTAAGCCTCCCCCTCCCTGCCTAAGCCTTCTGCCAGGGTTTTGTTGTACCTGAGGAGTGTGGCCATCACTTTGGTCTGTTCTGAGGTGCTACTGGAGTAAGTGCTGCAGGAATTTGTCTATTTGCCATTGATGTTTCGTGTGTCATCTTGTCCAGCAGTCCTGCAGACCATCATGCTGTGCCTCAGTATCTCCCCTATTTACACTATATTGAGCACTCTGAAGTTGCTACATTTTTTTTCTTTGGACCTCTCTAAATTCCCACTTCGTATATGAGGCCATGAACTGTGATCTCCAGGAACAACTGGATAATTCTGTTTCTTTTATGGAGGAAAAGGTGTATGTGTGTATGTGTTGCTCATCCAGGAAAGACTCTCTGTGGTGATCATTTATTTCTCCTGTGTCACTGTGAGGTCTTGCCCATATGAGGCTGAGGGATGTGGGTAACATGCAGCACCCCACCAATCTGCTGAGGTCTTTGTCTGCATGTTGTCTCTTTGTGTCTGGGTGTGGACAGGGATTGCCTGTACCAAGGTGACATCTGTAAACACAGGTGTCATGCCTGTCACCCTGGGGAGTTTCTGTGGTGGCAGGCTTACTCTGTCACATCACTCAGCTTCTTGTAATGTCCACTCTTATTGTTTCTTTACTTTAATTTGCTGTTCCCCTTGGAAGATAATTTGATCAGTCTATAGGTAAGGTAGATTAGAACAAACAGGCCTTCCTTAGAAGCATCAGACTACAGTTAATGGTTTTTAACAGTGATCCCACATCACTTTCTCCTAATAACTGATTATCCTGGAGAAAGTCAAATGAAGCAGAAGTTTCTTGCCCAAGAAGGAGATTCCCCAAAGTGTCACATAAGCATCTGCTGTGGCATGCAGAGCAATTGCCATGAGGTACCTCTGCTCACAGGCAGCTGCTTTTGAGCAGGAACAGAGAGGAGTGGCCTGTGCTGTACCTGTGCTTTGTCAGGGATGTGTTTGACCTTCACTGTGTAGAACTGTGTTCCTGTGTACCATCTTGGGGGCTGGTGCTATAAAACCTTAACTTGATGCCTGACACGTGTGTCCTTGGGCCAGGTACTGTTCCAGGGCTGTCAGCTGGATGAGACGAAGCGTGAGGCCTTTCTGCACCAAGTTTACACACAGCTCTGTGCCTTTGAAAACAAAGTGGCAGAGATGCTTCAGCAACAGTATGAACCCAAACCACAGGTAAGGAGGGCAGGGGTAGCTGGGCTCTCTTGGCTTCCTGGAGATGTGCACTCTGAAACCCCTCTGAGGTGGGGTGGCAAGAGGAAAAGCAGCATAGGTGTGCAGAAGGAACAGCTAAGCAGTTGGTGAGATAATGTTGTGGGATCCAGCAATAAGACATGAACACTGAGGAAGCAGAACCATTAAGTGTTTAGAAGGACTGGTGAGGATGGTTACCTTCCCCAAAGTTAATGTGCTGTAAGACAGCCTGACTGTAGGTCATGGGAGAAATGGTAGGATGTGCTTTCTCTCTGAAGAAGGTGGAGGCAGAGGTGATTATGTCCATGTAATTAATCTATAAATAGCTGTGAATATGCCCTTGTTACATTTCTTGAATGAAAATACTTCTTTGTTACCATGAAAACTGGCCATGAGCTGAATAAACAGCCAGTTATTAAGTTCTCCTTGAAATCTGTGACAGATGCTGCTTAGTAGCCATGGATATATGTATCAGCAAATTAATGACAGAGTCCTAGTATGGTGTGGGTTGGAAGGGACATTTAAAGATCACCTCCCTTGACCTGCTGGCCATGCTGCTTTTGATCTTCTTGTAGTCAAGGTCATTGCTTTCATGGCTGAGGTTATTTGGTCCTTAGTCAGCATAAGTTATTAGAGTTCAGGCAAAAAGTAAAAGAAAAAAGGCCCAAAATTACATGACCAAGAGGCTGTTGGTGATGTATTGCAGTTGCATATCTGAAGTACTTGAAATCTCGTATTCTAGCTGCAGTTTGTATGTTTCAATGCTAAAACTGCTGGCCCTGAAACAGAAAGTAGATTGCCGGAAGTAAATAACTCAGCTGGTGAGTCCAGATGGTGTTTTTGCAGTGCTTTGTATGCATTCCTGCTTGATGCAATATTTCTCTCATGGTAAACTACCCTGTAACTTCTTCCATGCAAATGGAGGAGAGAGACGCTCTTGCAGGCCAGAGGGACTGGTGAGTCCTGCCACGGGCTGTGGGGTGGAGGTGGGAGGCCCCAGGGGAAGGGCAGGGACTGAAACTTTTTTCACTTTTGAAGTTGCACTTGCTGTATCATTGTTAACAAGTATCTGAATTTCAGGCATCTGGCAAATTAAAGTGATGGACAGTCAATATTTTTTGCTCACAGGCACAAGCTGCTCCCATTTGTGCATAGCAAAAGTTTAGTTAGTTCTAGTTTTATTTTCCCAGCTCCAATCATCTGTAGCTTTGTAGAGGGGTGGCCGTCTCAGCCATTCTGTGCATTAGCAGTAAAAACAAAGCCATGTTTTATTACAGGGTTGAACTGCCAGAGCCTTGTGGGGATTAAGGGACTATGAATACAGTAGGTTTCTCACTGGTGTAATTATACAAATTTCAGGCTTTGCCTAGGGGATATTTTTCATAGAAGGTGCAGAAGCTTACCTGCATTTGTTTATATCAACACTGCATAATGAGAGCCATTTGAGTTAAATGCATAGACACTAGACTTTGTCTTTAGGAGGCTCCTTGCCCCCTCTGCTGCAGAGCTTCACAACTGAGATGCAGCTGCCTCTGCCTCTCCAGTGTTTCTGAGCTGAATATAGTAGATTAAGTAGATGCTGAATAGCTGCAGCTTCTAAATGACAGGGGGAGAAGGAAGTATTCACATCTCTTTAACTGGGAACTGCTTTGCTCCACAGAGGAGTTTTAGTGACCCCAAAGTGACCCAAATTTCCCCTTCTATTAGAAATCAGCTTTATATAAAGCTCTGAGCATGCTATCC